TCGGTGGTTTCGAAAGGTGAAGGACGTAGTGGACTACTGGATCTAACCCCCGGCAGTCGTGGTGTAAGGCTCTGATTTGGAATTGGTGATGCGCCTCTGACAGCCTTTCTTTGTTGCTGGAGATGTGCTCTGAGATTGCTCCCTGCCTGAGAGTCTTGTACGGGTGCCAGACGTGGAGGGTTACCACGGCTAATGTTGCGCCGAGAAGCAATTCGCCGTGACTCGCTCAGGTTCAATGCCATGTTGACTATCTGGGTTGAGTCGACGTCCAGCGCAGCACCCGGTTGCGATGCGTGCGCCCTTCGGCCTCGCCTTTGCGCTTCATTCCTCTTTGTTATATGCAGCTCCTCCTGAGATGTATCCGGCGACACAATGCGAGCACGAGGACCGCTGCCGGAGCTAATTCCAAGACCCAGGTCCCGTGTGCCATTGGATAAATATGGTTCTTGAACATCCTTCCCCTTATGTCGAGATTTACTTCGATGTGCCCGCCGTTGGTTTCCGGAGTCATCATCCGCGGCCACGGGCTCCTGAAGCAAGAATGCACTGCTCGGTTGGGTCTTATGTGGTCGCTTCGAACGAGCTCGTTTCGGTCGACCGGCTTGAAGGCCACTGGGAGCTGCAACAGCTCCGCGAGACTTGTGATGGTAGCGTGGAAGAGTTTCGTCATCGGAGAAAGCAAGAGGTCGTTCAGGGGATAGAGGAGCGTGGAGGAGAGCGTTCATGCTGGGTTCTCCCCTTTCGGCGGTGTCGTAACTAAACCTCGTAGGAGGCTCTGGCGTAACTGGGCCATCCCGTCTGCCATACGCACTCAGCGACGAGGCAGCACGAGGGTCGGCCATTGCGCGCTGGTATTTACATAGAACGCCAGCAGCAGGGGCAGACTCTCAGGCTGCGCTCGAAAGATTAGCGGGGAGTTGTCGTCAGTGTTGATGAATAAAGGAATATTGCAGCATCGTTTTTCCTCTTTCAAGGGACCTTGTCGATCTAATGCGCTAGATCCTGGTCAATATTGTTGTCCTTGGTGACGATGTCTTCTGGGAGCCAATCTTGTACCGACAATGACGGCAATAATAGCGTCGAGGTCGGAGTGGATGCCCGACAGGGGGAATCCGCCTCAAGAGCTCATCCCTCGCTTTGAAGTGTACGAGAATACGTCGCAGTGATGATGCGTTGGACCAGAGATTCTCTTGTAAGTTGGTTGGGATGTTGCATTTGCGGAGCGTTAATGTTGAAAGGATTGGACATTAGACGTAGGGGTCCTTGAATGTACAGTATAGGACGTCACGGGAGTGGATGTGACCCGACAGGGTGCTACAAGACACTGAAGCCACAGGCGGCAGGGCCAGTTTTACACCTTTCCCACCTATCCTAGGCACAAGCGTGGCGGGGAGTGACGCACGCGTGTCTTGATGTGGCACCTCGTCTTGAATCGGAGTACAAGGTTTGAGGGGAAGCTTACACCTTATCACAAGTACCGGGTGTCTCAGGCCCGAACTGCCGATACTCATCACATGAAATAATTAACTCATTCGAAGCCAAGGTCTAAGCCAGGTTGCGGCAGCTGCTGAACACCTCCTAATGGCAGGGGTCAGGGGCAGCCCAAGTTCATAAATAGAGTCATACGCTTGAAATTTGACTCAACTATGGAATGGACCAGATCATTGGATAGAGCTCAAGGCTGGAATACTTCAGCGCTTTCTTATGCATTTCTCATAGTGGTTGTTTTGTCTAATTGATACAGGTACTGTTCAAACCCGAGATCAGTAGTAAGATCAGTAAAATCCTGATAGTTTACACAAAATACTGTACACTTCTTCTCAAGACAAGGAGGGATACACATCATCAAGCGTGCCATCCTTCTCTTATATCTTCTCTATGCACCGACAACCTCCTCACATCTGCCACATAGCGCGTCTTCTTTTGGCGCCATGTATCGCCAACATCTGGAGCATTTCTCCTGCTTTGGGGGAAGCACATGCACATTGACCTTAGCGTCTTGGATCTCGAATTCCTTTTGGAAAACCCAAGCAGGATTTTCAGGGAGGGGTTCGTTGACCTGCACCGAAGACACAACAAATATGTCGTGGAGCTCATCCAGGTAACGTCCAAGAACAGCCGCCGCTTTGCCATCCTCAACCTCCAGGTATACTGCGCTCTGGAGAGAGCTGCCAAGCGCCTTGGCAGTTCGTGCATCCTCCAGTGTTGCCTTGACAGCGCCATGAATTTCTGTGATGATGGTCTGATCCTTACGCACCACATCTTGAGGGAGCGTCAAACGCAGAGGGTCAACGAGGGGGTCATCGTATAGCTGGCGAGCTGGACTTATCAAGGAACTAATATTGATATTAGCAAATCATAAACATGAGCGAGCACAGGATGAAAACTCACGTGTCTTCAGTCATCCATTCTGGTCGGAACGACCAAGCCTCCTCAACAAGCATAGGAGTGATTGGTGCCAGCATGCGCAAGAATCCGATGAGGATAGGCTCCAAAACACCACCGCCATCACCACAGTAGAGTCGGTCCTTCAGAGCCTCCAAATAGAATGCGGACAAATCAGTTGCGACCCAGCGGTTAATCGTACTGACCGCTCTGTAAAACTCAAAGTCGTTGTATGACTGCATGACCTCTGACATGGTATCGGAAAGTTGAACAAGTGCCATTTGGTCTAACTTGGTCAATGGGCTCTGACGGGCCTCTGGGTAAATTGACCCGAGAAGCATCTTGATGATGGTTCGGTATTTGATCAACGAAGCATTAACAGGTCTAAGAATATTTGGTCCTATCAGAACATCCGATGTGAAATCGGCACTCGCTGCCCATAATCGAATGGCATCTGGGCCGAGGGGGTCAAGTTTTAGCCTGTTGCCTCTGGAGTAGGCCTGTGAAAGGAGCCCCTTGATGACTTCGCTGGGGAGGATGATGTTACCCTCAGACTTTGACATCTTCCTGCCTTTCCCATCAAGCGTGAATCCGTGAGTGACCAAAGTCTTAAAAGGAGCAGAAGCTTTGCCAGTGGTCTCCCTCGATGTTTGTGTAGCAACATAAGTCAATAAGCTGGATTGGAACCATCCGCGGTGTTGATCAGAACCTTCAAGATAAACATCAGCAGGGCCCTCAGTTTCTGTCCATGAGCTGCCACTGTCAAACCAAACGTCCATAGTATCAGTGCCTCGACGGTATTTACCCTCCATATTGGGAGGAATCCAAGCAGGTTCATCTGGGTCATCAGAGAACCAGGCAGATGAAGAACGCTCTTCCATAACTGAGATGATATGGTCGATTGTTTCTGTTGTCATGACAGCATTGCCGCTCTCATCATAAAGAGCAGGAATGGGAACTCCCCATGATCGTTGGCGAGAGATACACCACTCGCTGCGACGTGTGATGAAAGCTTCGAGACGATTGCGACCACCCCTTGGAACAAATCGAACATCCTTCAGTGCTTCAAGGGCATCATCTTTGATACTACCAACATCAGCAAACCATTGGGCTGTAGCACGAGTCACCACAGGCCGCTTGGTTCGCCAATCGTAAGCAAAACTGTGGCGTTGTTTATGACTTCCAAGTACATCGTCGCCCACCAATTGCAAAACAGCGAGACTCCCACCATCCATGACAGAGCTCGCTTTTGTGAGCTTCTCTGGGTCGTCAGGGTAAGCTTCTTCAGTGAAAAAGCCGCCATCGTCGATGGGAGCAAATGCTTCAATGCCAATTTTAGAGCAGACTTCATAGTCGTCCCGGCCGTGTCCGGGGGCAAGGTGAACCAGACCAGTACCAGAGCTGGAAGTCACGAAATCTGCAGCAATGATAGGCTGTGACGGAGCAGATTGCCCTCGGAGTTTGTTCTTGTACTCTAGACCTTTCAAGCTAGAACCTGGAATGGAATGTGCTACAACTTGAAAGTCGCCAAGGAAGCGCTTCAAATTCCCAACACGGCTCGACGCAACGAGATAGCCGTCTTCTCCAACCTGGAGGATCGAATACTTGATCTTGTCGTGGATAGCAATAGCTCGGTTGGCGGGGAGAGTCCAGGGTGTGGTTGTCCAAATAGCTGCATACAGGTTTCCCTTGAAATCGGCCAGTTCAGGTATCGAGGACCAGTCGGAAATGATAGGGAACCTTATATATGCGGCAGTAGAGACATGGTCCTCTACGAATTGCAACTCTGCCTCGGCGAGCGCAGTCCGCGAAGAAGGTGACCAGTAAACGGGTTTGTGCTTGCGGTAAATCAATCCTCGGCGGACCATATTTTGAAAGACGCGCAATTGCCTTATCTCATATTCTCGGTCCATCGTTGTCCACTTCTTCTCCCAGTCAGACATAACGGCGAGGGACCGGAATACCTTCATCTGGTCTACAACTGTCTTGGAGGCCAGCTGTCGTGCTGTATCCCGGACCTCTACAGGAGTCAACCCCCTCGTTGTGTGCGATCCCAGTGCCTTCATCTCGATTGGAAGACCATGGCAGTCCCAGCCTGGTCGATATGTCACTCGACGGCCTTGCTGCACCTTAACACGCACAATCATATCTTTGAGAACCTTGTTCATGGCATGACCAACATGAAGCTCGCCATTGGCGTATGGGGGACCATCATGGAGAGTAAATGGCTTCTCCTCAGGTCGATTCTGTGCTTGCCATGCGTATAAATCGTCGGTACATTGCTGAAGATAATTCGGTTCGAGCTTGGGGGTCGGTCGAGCACTGCGAGATCGGCTATATTAGCTCCCCACGTTCCAATTCTGGAGGCTCTGCAAAGGGGGAGGACATACGGAAATCTCGACCGAGGCAACCTCAAGGACGACTTCCAGGATTTAAGCATGGTTGACCAAGAACCATGTCGCACTTAATTAGGCTGCTTTTTTGGTGTTGAGGTCGACACGGCTGAGCAATGGAGATTTTTTGGCGCTACTGGGCTGCTTAAGCAGCCGTTCAATTGAAGCTTCAGCCATCCAATCGCTTAGACCATCTGCAAGGCTGAAGGTCCAGGCGCCGGGGCTCAATTACAGAGAGAACTTGAATTTTAGCGTGTCGCGACGCGATTTATAGTGGACGGGTACTCATTACATCACTAAAGCGACGCCATGTCAAGCCTCATTCACACTGAGGTACGTTCACGTTACTTCCATTTACTTCACCTCACAGTCTCACATACAGCGTCAAATACACGATGGCCCCGGTCCGGCGATATCTGAGGATATCCAAGTACTCAGTCCTTGAATGCCGAATTTATCTGGATAACCCTGCATTGGCCCAATCATGGCTTCTTAATCCTCGAAATCCAATATTACCCAAGGTCATCGAAAGCATCCGTCCCTTGGTGCTTCCGAAGCTTCGTGAAGAGAAGGAAAGGGTTAGAAAGAAGAGCAAGAAGAAGAGCATCAAAGATGTTATAGTATCAGGTACGTCTGTTGAGAATATATTGTTGTCTCTGTCAGTAACTGATCTCACTTAGACGAGTTTGAGGTCTCCATCTTCTTGACAGAGACGAGCACGAGACATTCTCTCCTCTACAAAACCAAACATTTCAGGGACAATCTGCCGCCGAAACTCAAGTCCAACTCCTCTAAGCTCATCGGTGAGACGGATAGTGTTCCCGTGGACGTTGAAGATGAATATCGTGCACCAGTCTTACAAGAAGATGATGGTGAGGTGAGACTCGCCGATATTCCTGTCGCCGAAACAACAACACGACGGAGTAAGCGCCAAAGAGGAATACAGGATCCGGAGCAAGATGACAGCGATGAGGCGTTTGAAGATGATGAAACAGCCTCGGCCATCGAAATCGACTCTGATACGGAGGCACCCCCACACAAGAGGCACAGGGCCCGGACGAACGACGGCCTTGACGGAAACGAAGACAAGAAGAAACTAGCCATGGACGTGTCATATGAGGGATTTGCAATATACGGTCAGGTGCTGTGCCTCGTGGTCAAGAAAAGAGCGAACGCTGCAGCTAGCAGTGGTGGGGGTGGAAAAGCCCGACCAGAAGGCCAGGCGACAATGGAGAATTGGATTTCTTCTACGCAAGTGCCTGTTGGGGAGGATATTCCATAATCGAGACCAAAAGAATAGCCAAGGTAGTCAAAAGGCCTCCTAAGCTTATGCTAAACTTACCTAAGTCTTTTTATTGCTTAGGATTGAGGTCTCAAGTCTTCTTGATTCCCTAGCCGGCCCGAATGGCATGACAATTTGATGTTAGGTCGACGAGGGTTAACCCGAATACCGGGGTTTGACAGACGGGAACTGCGGATACGGCCGTCGGGTTCCTGTAGGCGTTCGGCCTGGCGGCGGGCGGCGGGAGGAGACAGGCTACTGGTGACTCTACTGGGCATTCAATGTCTGGTGTATCATTTGCTAATCGCAGTCTACTGCCGAGCTTGTCACGTCAGTCGAATCATCAGTCTAATCTGGCGAAGTTCGATTTACTGCCTAGTATGGATGATCGATCACAACGGAGATATAGGTAGTGCCTTGAGTTCACTTAGGCGAGAATAGCATCATTGTTACGGCCCACCTCGACCGGGCCGCTCAGACACTACTGGCCTCGATGTTTCTTGGCGTTGGTCTCGCATGGGTCCTGTCTCCAGCTTGGCACGGCGACGATGATCTGGAGTTGGCAAACAGACGAACACCAGGCCCCTACCACGGGCTCCATTATGAAGCTGGGTTGGTGTTCTGCATGGTTGCAGCCGTAAACCTGGAGCAGCGCAGTGTGGATGAGAAATATCGGGTCTTGGCGAGGTGCATGTCTCAGTGATATGACAAGAGGAAATCTATAAGCCCGACGTCCGGAGGAGATACTCCCATGGAGGAGTTTCGTGTATATCCCGCACTTGATCTCTTATTTGTGTATCATCAGACTGACCCTGGTATCGTTGGGTAGCATAATGGGTCTCAAGAGCGAAAATGAGGCCTTTTTGATATGGAATCACCGTTTCGAAAATCTTCGGTAGATCCTCAATGATAGGCGTACGTACGAGTGTCACATTTGCGAGGTTATAATGGGCGTGAAAGCGAAATTCCATCTATGAGTGCCTTGGCCAGCATGTCTGGAAAAGCCGGATGTTTGCGGAGCATTGCATTGCCGGCATACGGCGTTGTAACCCAACCGGTTGGTCACAAATGAGTATTCAAGCTATTATAAATATATTTGATAGTGTCAAGACATGACCCTTGAGCGGAGTGTCAATCGGCTGTCATGGTCTATTGTGAATGTCTCAGATGTTCCGGTGAGGCTTGCTTTGAAATTGGAATTGTATTTGACGCCCTTTATCCATGTCAACGCTTCACCACCCTTCACAAGATGCGGCTGGCTGAAGTTGGTCATGTCGAGACTCGAGAGCTTCGATGTCAGCCCGGCACTTTGTAAGATGATCGATATCTCCACTTAGAGATGCCCAATATAGAGACGGAAACTTTCGTTCTGACGTTTGGACTACATTAGTCTGCCCAGCATGTCGTAATCGGCACTTACCATATGAGAGGCAGTGTAATCACGAAACGTCCAGTGAAGGGTTGAGGTGTAGAAGATATGACTTGTGATAAAAATATCCAGAGCTGAGCTGTTAAGACGAGTCGTTGTGTAATTGATGAATGTCGCGGATACGGATACGTTGCCTTGGGTTGGTTGTGTTGCCTTACGCGTCTCAATGGCTTGGATTATATCGAAAAATATGACAGCCTGATATAAACGAGCTCTCGAGTCTCGTGGCCGGAGCCTTCGCCGATGCTTGTACAAGACACGGCAGCATCGGGAATATGGGTCACAAGATGCTCAATATCATCATCATCCATCGTTGTCATTTTTTTACCCCTGGTACCTCGTGCCTTGTGCCTGTGTCTGTGTCTGTGCCTGTGCCTGTCTGTGCCTTGTGCCTGTGATGGAGGGGGGGTTTCCAGTGGTGAGGTTGGTAGGTTAGCGACAAAGTTGTGGTATGAACCGGCACCAACCAGCACAATAATCTCTCCGTTTGAGTTTTGTGAGTGAGTGCGTTTCTGTTTTTAACAAAAGTATGACTGTACCAAAGTCTAGGTTGACGTCTCAGAAAGACAATGAAGACGGATGGATGACATGCCTCGCAGCAACTAAACACTAGCATCGAGTAACCCCGCAACCATAGGCAGAAAAAGCAAGGGTCATGGAGAATACCCAAAGTCAATTCGATGAAACACATAAACTCGGTGAGTAGGTAGCAAGCCGTTTGGTCTCATGACGGGGGATACTTTGGTACAAGTGGTGTTTGTACCTCTGGGCTTGGGGAGACCATGGGGCCATTCCCTTTATGATGACATGGATATTGCAGTTTGTTTGCTAATTCCTTGCATTCTGTATCCATGCATGTCTGTCTGTATATGCAGATGCATGCGTGTTTGTTCTGTTCTTGGCTTGTAGACACGCCTCCACCATTGCAACTTCACAGCCTGCCTCCGGTACAGCGGCACGATGTACGCAATTCTTCATGGCATAAACATCAGCAGTGAGTGAGATTGTGATTATCAACTTACAAGCGGTATCAGCATCAGCGTACGTGGGCCCTTTCAAGCCCCTCTTCTTCCGGCCTATTACCTCTCGGCCGGGACTGATACACACGCTGTCGTGGCATCACTTAGAGGTGCTTACAGACATGCTCTTGCATGCTGATACTGCTACCTACTGTGTCCTCGTTATCATTGTATCGCTTCCATTTCCCCATACAGAGATCTGCTGCTCAGACCATGCATTCGAAACATCATCTTTCGATTCCTGGGATTTGCACGTCTCAGCCTTGAACAAGACAATCCCATGGCTGTGGCAGGCATCACACCTACTTTGACTGCTGTGCCACTGTTAGTTTCTGGTTCCCAAGACATGGCATGGTAGACACACCATAATAGTTTCACCATCCTCATGTCCTACCTTGTGTGCTTCTGCCTTGTAATACTGTGCCCTGCCTGCTCTGCTCTGCCTTATCAAGATTACTATGACTATGACTCTTTCTGATGCTGTGCTTGAACTTCCCCTCATCCACCCCCACGATAACTCCATCCTTATACCCATGGAAGTTAGTCACGCTCAAAGATGACTCTGCCTGCCGACCATTCGCTACCAGGATCCAATTTAGTTATGAGCCAATGATGATCCCAACTCTGATCTTCTCCTCTACAGAACCGCTGCAGATTTTACCGTTGGGCCGCACCCGTTCCAAGATATGCTCGCACTAGTTGAACTTACGGCTCACTGCAGTACCTAATGCTAGCCCAGTGGAGGATTCGACAACTCAGCATAGGACATGCATATTTCGCCGGGTTTTTGCTTGCGAATATCGTCCCGTGACTCTCTTGTGCAGGTATTAGACCAAAAATCCATCCTTTAGGTTCGTTTATGGTCGTTGTTAGTGGCCGCCCGATCATCACCAACCACATCAACGAACGACACGTCTCGCATTGATCTCGATCTTCATCTTTGCATAGTTGACCGCTTGTTTCGACTAACCCATGTTTTCCTTCAATAACACTACACTGCACTACACGACGGTATAGTTTAGCCGGGTCGTGGAGAATGACGCTGACTTGAGTAAATCCGCATATAGGGTAGAGCCATGGTGTTTCAAAGCTATGCATACGCCTTACTATATCACCCGCTAAACAAGGCCAAGGATATTAATCAGACGATTTGATTGTGATAGCAGTCACAGTAGGTTGAGGCTAGTTCATTGCAGCCTTGTTATCGTCAGTCATCATATGTTCATGTTCATCAGATAGAACAGGTTATGACATGGATGTGCTCTCGTCTTACACTAACAACTCCACGATCTGCAACGCATCAAGTTACATCCGCTCTGTAGACGTCCTGTCATTTCTCCGCCACAAATAATACGAAGACGCATCTCTCACCAATTCCCGTATCTATCTCCGAGCTCCTCAAACATGTCCCTAAGAATGTAGACCCTAACCTGAACATCTGACAAAATGTCGCAGGCTGTTGATCGACAGCATATCTAGGACCCGCAGCGGGCCGATCTGATACAGAGTCGCTAGCAAACATACCCTGTCTCTCACAGTCGTAGCCCCCTGTAATCTATCATTCATCGCAAGGCGCATGTCTGAGTTAAAGCCAAGGACGATCACTTGTCCATGCTTCAGATGCTCAACCAACAGACGTACCTTCCATCAGCTGGATGTCGATCATGATATGATGATCCAACAATTTGCCCTTGTAACATCATGAACTTGAGTTGTCCATGTTCATAACCAACAGGGAACTGGAGAATCATAAGCACGTCATGCAAGCTGGCGTCTGCAGAGTAGTATTTTGAACAATGCAACTGCAAAGCTTCACAGCAGTACAGAGAATGAACAGAGGGATGTAACGAAAAACACCGAGCTCTCCCTTCGGTATCTGCATAGTGTATCCCCCTTCAGGCTGACATGAAGGGTCCTTGCGATTAGGTACGTTGCCTAAAGCGATAGGGCCGCAGGGAAAGCGGCCATGCCACTCCTAGGAGGCCAAATTATGTAGGCGTCACCACTCACGGAAAGGACTGCGAACCGAGTTCTGAACTAAGGGTTCTTTCGCATATTGGCCGTAACCGTCTTGAATTCACCCAACTCCATTGTCTGGTGTGGTTGTACTGTAGATATGCATACATATGCACGCCGAGATGGAATGCCTTGATCGGAGAGAGCACACCGTTACCAACGTGGAGATAGCTGCATGTTTGATGAGCAACTCGTGTTGGCATGCAGCTCATGGTGCCATTACAAGGGACCGTGCCCACTGATAACCTTGCGAATCATCACCACGTGCAGTTACGGAGGTTGCTTTTGGGTGGGAACTTATAACAGCCTGCAGCATACAAGTGAGCCAAAAGATGATAGTAACCGAGGTGTCACGACAGCCAGAGGGAATATCACGCCCATGTTACTGCACCTGGATAATAAGCACGTAGATGTTACAAGTTGAAGCAGGTTGCTGGAATCCGAATCCACATATCGATATCGAGGTTGATAGAGAAGGGTAACGATTTCCGACGGAAACTTGTTTCGCTCAACACCATGTTTCATAGCGTGGGCGGAAAAACTTGTGTGTCTCATCATCCAGCCCGCCAATTTGAAAGTCGGATCGGGTCAGGACAGTAGCGACGAGAATAATCGGTAATATTGGACAAAACAAAGAGTGACAAAAGAGTCCCGTCACTTTGGGCGGATTGGGGTTACATCGCTGGGTCGATTAATGTTGCTCTCCCCCTCAGGGACTCAATTAAAGACGCCACGTAGAATTGTTTGTTCCAATCAAGCAACATGATGGTCATTCTCACCGCCCACTCAGCAGTCGTCGCTGTGCCAAATGTAGCCAAAAATACCAACGTCAAGCTTGCATCATTTCCCCAGTACAGGGGGCCGGACATTAGCAGTCCGCTCGCGAATAGGTAATTGATGTGCTGTTCAATAGTGATCGCTAACCCCCTTGTGCGGCTGGCTTTGAGATGAAGGTCGAGACCAGATCCAGTGGAGGCTGAACTATTGAGGGCGTGCCGTCGCGCAGTGCAGGGAGGCTATCTCTTGTTAGGTGACATTATCTCAGGGCAAGTTGAGCAGCCTCAATTGACCACTGAGTATCGGCTGAGGAATGAGTGTCAACATGTCACGGAGCAAGGAGCACATTGAAACTCTTCAACAATCGATCAAACACAGACCATATGTTCTGCTCAAGAATGATTTCCCCATCCGTGCACCTGCAATATCGCAGTTCGGAATGTGGGAAAGGGGCTCATACGTATGAAGCTGACGACATGAGCCTGAGACAAGACAAGACAAGACAGGGACTCGAGGTACAGGACAGTGCCGTATCCGTTTGTATGCCCGTCAGAATGATGGACACGAACAGGGATCGTCAGGGGACGCCACACAACAGCAGCCATCGTCATACATATCCCCTGACTTCCACGTGGAGAGGGTGCGTGCCCCTGGGGCCTGTGGCTTGACAGCCCTGCCTCAAAGCCTCAAAGCTGCCTTGTGGACTTTGATGGTAACGCTGCAGGTGGTGTGGTGCATTGGGTGCTGTGGCTGGCTGCTGAACTTGGAGGACCAATTGTTATCTGAAGGGATGTGGCTTTGACCTTTTCCCAAGGGCCCTTTGTCTCCGGTACAAGGGTGTTGTCAGCTCTAGCGTTGGCGTGTTCCTGACCTTACCTGTCGTAAGCTCGTTTTGTGCCGGCAGTGCTACGGACTGAGATATTGTAGCTGAGAGTTTAGCTTAGCAGGTCGGTCAACTTTATTAGAACCAACAGTAACAGCATCGATATGTCACTGACACGATCGCCGACTTTTAGTCAAAAGTCGGGAGACCCTTCCGACATGGAGGTCCGTCGGTCGGTCGGCGATTTGCGACGCAAAGGAAAGTTCTAAACTGAGATATTGGGTTTGGTTTTGTTAGGCTAGACAGAGACGGGCCAGTATATGGGCAAGAAGCTACGGTACTTGTTCTCGAAGTCAAGCCGTCGGCACTATTTTCAAGACGAGAAGACAGAGTTCTCACAAAAACCAGTTTTCCAACTCATGGTTAACCGGCTGAGGCGTCCAGTACGGTCCCGCCAAGCCTCCTAAAGTCCGACCGCCTGGATGAGTTCAACGGTTTGTGGACAAGAGGCTGGCTGGCTAAAGCCCCTAAGCCTCATATGGAGCCGAGGCACGGCGTCTCCGTGATGTCTGATGTGCAGCATGACCAAGCTTGACTGAGTGGTCCGAGAAACCCCAAACACTCTTGAGACGGGTTACGGTGATATCTGTTCCTTGTCAGAAATGCGACAGTGTCAATTGGTCTGAGAGGAGCGGCCGCTTTCTCATCTCGGGCAAAGCAAAAGTCAGCGGCAACCTAAAGGGGCAGAGTACGTTACCAGCACGGCGGAACGGACATTATCTTGGTACGTATCTCAGAGTCCGGAGAAAACTGCCGAGAAGGGCAGAATACTCGCCAGCGGTGATGGTTTGCGTCAGATGACTACAACGTACCAATAATGTTTGAGATGTTGATTGTTCAGGGTAGTATCAGATCGCTGCAGGCATTTCTTCTAACGGCTTCAGCCAGTCAAATCATAGACTGATCAAAGATATCAGATACGGTGAAACCTATCAATTCAACAGCCGAGCCCCCGAAACTGATCGGATCGTCCTTGATCTGTAAGCAGAACAACAAAGAGTTAATCACTTGCCACTTTTTAAGTCATGATCTTCATTATCGGGTCAGAGGGTTCTGACATGAAACGGACAAGAGGGCGGAATTGATGTCAATGAAGATCATATTATCAGCAACACGGTTCCGCTCAGGAATCAGACGCAATAGCGGTATCCATGATTGCCGTCCAATTTGCCACCATTCCCACTTTCTGGATACCCCAAGGAAGTCGGTGAAGCAGATTTCAATCAGAAACCCGGCGGTCTGGAACTGACACGGGGTCTTGGGTCTCATCTCAATAACAACCCCAGATTAAAAAGGAAATACGGAGAGGAACAATCGGAAGAAGAAAGGAAAGAAAAATCTTACTGCTAGTGTGACACGCCCACCCCTGGTTTCTGAATAGATGATACAGTGGATGGAGATCACCACCTCAAGGAGGACGATATCGGCACAAGTTGGGATGAAACTAGGCATATTGTACCCAGCCTCGTCATCAATCATCAAAGCATCAGCCGTACAACGCAGCCTAAAGGCCTACAAGGCTCACTGCACAACTGCCCTAATAGCCGTTGGACCGTCTGTTCGCCGCTAGTGTTGAGTTTGCCACCACCCGTTCTTTTAGTCAGGGGCACAAAACAATCCCGACGGCAAATTATTTCATTAATTGAATTATGTACGAGGAAGGGGCTTGCATCTGGCCCATGTTTCTGATTATTGAGGCTGAATTGAATTGTCTTGTGGAGATAGTTATTGTTCGAAGGGATGAATAGCTCAGACATCGCCAATGCAGGGCCCAGGGATGTAATTTCCCAACAGAAGTACGACATAGGAGAAGGGGTATGTTTGTCTGTAAGGTATGGTTGTACAGTCAGCAAGGCTGCCGTGCTCCATTTCTTTTTCCCAAAGGTCTATTGAGTGCACGTGCACAATAGTTGCCAGCTGGAAATTTATTGATTGCAAAAATAAATAAAAATTACAGGGGCATTGCCTGACGACTCAGAACAAAGACGGAGAAAAGAATTAACCAACTTGCATACACACCCCTTCCAGCATGGACCAAATGAGATACTCAAACTTCATGTACCGACCGTTGCTCGGTACAGTCTCAGTGGATATGGATATTATCGTCCATTGCTATTGAAGGAGTAGACGCTCAAGCCTGGAGTTGGGCCGTGTAGATGCCCAAACCTGCTCACTGACGGGATGTCGTGCATGATGTTTCTGATGATTGTTGTCCGTGTAAGTCCGTTGCATCATAGACAACTCACACAAAGACCCGGTATATGGATCAGAAACGATGGATATCATGCAAGTTTGTCACTTTTTTTGCTCCGGCGCATTCCTGGGCGAGCGTCTAAACGGCCAACACATTCAAACGCTGCGGGTGCAAGTGCCCGTGTTGGCTTAGCTAAAAGCGGTAGTTTATTTGACTCTAGTCTCTACGCAGGCTCCGTCTCACAAGTGCAGCAGCTTAATAAAAATAAATAAAAGTGAACCAAATTGGCGGTAAACTAAGAGCTAATGTGACATCTCCGAAAACACCATTTTCAGCCCAGCCACAGACGGACGGGCACCAGAAGACACACGTAGCATTGCTCCGTTATTTCATTGAGTCCGAGCTTGGCTCTAGAATCAAATCCCGACCTTCGAAATTTCCAAAGAATATTCTACGAGATGGACCGGGCTCTTGTCGGTGTGAGGTGAGGTGATCCAGAATGTCCTCTCGGTAATCGAAGGTCATCCATGCTCTGACGGTGTTGGCCCTGACGCCTCAGCTCAGTCGGCAAACGAAAACGCCCAACCATGACTTTTTTTATGACATCCATGGTCAAAGTGTGACACCTCATTCCACACCCACAGCCATGGAAGCCATAGAACGTCCATAGAACAATTCTAACAAAGCCCCATACAAAGTTACAGTCCACAGCAGGGAAAGAAAATAACGCCTCGACCATCTCTTCGGAAGTTTTGGAGCTATTGGAATTACATGGACCATTCATGAATCGTTTGGTTGTCAGGTTTCTTCTTTCAACCTGAAACCCACTCTCAACTCACAAACAACACGCTCACCAGGCTCATGGAATTGCGGCATGTGCTGTGCAGCAGATATAGGACCCCTATGACTTCATTTACGATGATCTTTGACCGCACTCAGCGTGATATCGCGCCCCGAGCGCTCGCTTCGAACGCACAGTCACAATCGCGGTGAGATGAGGTCTTTTTGATTAGGTCTACGGATGGATACAGGAGTGGGATTAATAATAAAAGCGAGCACAACAAAGCAAACGAAGCGAGATCTGCTACATACATAAAATAATGGGGTCAACCGATGGATGGTCAGAGTGGAGGTTTCATTTCACCTTAAGAGCATGCATGCCTAGAATACGAATAAGCAGCCATTTTTATTTTCTTCTGTGGGGGTTACAAACAACGTTGACCGCACATCGTTGCATGCTGAGCCTCTATGCCAAGACAAAAGACATCCTATGCATGGGTCGGCGAGTTCTATACCGCAACGTTGTCGGCACAGTCGGGATTAAGGTCATAATTGAACTACGACATCGTCACAGGCCTAAAAGTGTGAGTCATCCAAGACCCCAGATGTAGGTGGTATCAATCTACTGGGGGCACAGAAGTGCATGATGGGATTGGGGAACACAGTTGGCAGGCAGGGATACAGATCCGGAGTTTGGGTTGGGCAGTGTCACCTGCGAACCACTCAACATCAAACCCCGGTGTAGGTATCGAATACATTGCCGTGTAATGTTGTGAAGAGGTCGTGTAAGTGACCGTGAGTGTAGGGCTGCAGATAGTATTCGTACCGAAAGAACAGAAGAGAAGAAAGAGGCGGCGGCACAGCAATACCACGAGACATTGATGCATTCGATATGCCCCGGCGAAACAGATATGTAAGAATAACAGCGTGCTTTGTAAATGGCTTACACGACTTAGCGGTGCTATTTTCGTCCTCTCCGTCAGTTGAAGGAACCTCGTAACCATACCAGCAACGCCAATCTGTAACAGTCAATCATCGCCGTCTCACTAAGCAACATGACACGGGAAAAAACGTGTTGTAGCCAGGCACAGGAACGCAGATTACAGTAGTCCTCATTTACACTTTTGGCCTTCTCAACTGTCGAGAGAACAAACGTCAAAGCGAAGGTTTTTTTCACCATCGGTTAGAAGAGCACTGGAATGCTCGGTACGCTTCTACCGAAGGCGGCCCGCGTCTTAAGCCCGCCAGACCAATACTACACCTCCATTCTCTCTTAAATTTTTCTACGACACATGTTTGATAGGTTAAGTGCGCCGGAGTCTCGCCAGCCGTAGTGCCTAGGCTTACGGAGAGTTCTGGGCCGCGAAACCGGTGCGATATGCCGAATACCAGTAGAAGCAGGGAGTAACCTGAAACGAATACGTTATTTTCAACGACGGCGAACGTACTACTAGTCTACGCCGTAATAGTAAGATAATCAGGTGGCATTTCCGATATGGAAAAGAAATTACCCTCCATTGCTTGGCCGTAGACAGAAACATGCCAACTTGGACAGACAAACACGTGTTGTTACACGCCAGTGTGAGGTTGTATTGCGGTATGGATGGTATGGTATCGTGTTATCGATCTGAGACTCTTTGGCACCAACAACCGAGACATGGAAGCAAGGGAGATGATCGGTCAGTGTTAGTTAAGTTACGTTAGAGGTAAAAATTCGTATGACACCAACGTAACTATGGATATCCCCCGCAATCGAAATAACTGTCTTTGGGGGTCTGGACTGCATCTATCAGACCGACAGCAGCATGAAGGCCCAAGTACGGAGTATTAATGCAGCTCCGAATTAGTTCGATAGTTGATGTATATCGGTCAGTCAATATCATATCCACATACCATGTTGCTTCTTTTCAGCGGTCAAGATCTCGCCTGCAGACATGCCTGCATACTCAGCCCTAATCAATGTTGTTGAGAAGAGCCAGTAAGCTGACGATGGATAGTCGCAAATTGCTTGGCCCATTTGTGTGTGCGACATGAACCAAGCGGTGACAGAAAACCGCCGCCCCCTGGTCACAGCTTTTCCAGGGCGTTTGGTTTGGTGAGATTGTGTCTATTTTTTACCAACGCTTCATCTCAACTCACATGTGAACGGGGGCATGACAGTCAAGGTTCAGGCTCATGGACCACCGAAATTGGACGTCATTCAGCGAGCATCAAACACCCCGGGCAGCATATCCACCTGAGAGGGAGCCTAGGCGAGGAGGGCTAGAGCGTAATCTCAATCTTGTATTGGCCAGGATGAAATTCTTCGAAAGCTTCCATGCGACCTTCTATACCAGGGTTTGCTGTGGAACCCCCAACAAAGAACCAGTCTTTCTCCAGTTTCGCCTGTTTCACACTGCTTGGCTGACGAGGATCACTGGCCGTCTAAGCCGTTCTGCCAGCCAAGATGGGCGTCGACCACTGCATCTTCCAAGAATTGCCCGTTTTGTCAAAATGAATAGCGCTACAAAGGTGATGGCTGCCACGGAGAAGATAAAATCAAACGGCTCGGTAGCCGGACTCGTTGGAATGAATCAGTACAGACTTTACTGGCTGGTCTGGACTTGATTTTCATTGTAGTTTTTGAGGTTGACGGGTTTCGTTTTCCTGAGTTGCTCTCCTTAGAGTACTAACCTAGAGTTTTGGTGCGCCTCCACGGCGGAAGCCGGTTCCTAAGATTTACACTGGCGGTTGATAGCGCTGGGCCAAAGTACACGCCGGCTCATGATACTCGTGGCCTTTGAATGCATCAATTGGGCACCTGGTACCGGTAACCGGTAACAGTTTTGAGTTGACTGCATCGAACATCTACGGGCTGCTGGTTGTGCTGCATTGGCAGCCTGCTAGGCAGCCCAGCTGATCTCTCGATATCCAATAGCAGGCTGATAATGCGCCGTAGGAAGCAAGGAATCGTCATAATGTGCATTTACAAAGTGCCCCCGTTGTTGCTTTTTTGGGGTCGACCGGCATTCAAAAGTCCAATGGGCGTGTCGTACAAGCAGACGATTGAGCATCGTATTGGTAGACTAGGCTGGGCTGAGTGAGAGTGAACTGCTGTGTTGTACGAACTAATTGATGCACATTTGCATTTGCAGCATCGGTGAGGACAAACACAATACAGTAGAGATTGAAATTGTGGCCGAGCACATTGCATTTGTGCTACTGCATACGCAGGGTTCAGGATGGGGATCAAAAGATAGCATGCAATTAATTGTGAGTTGCAATATTAATTAATTATTGAATGAAATGGTGGATTTTACTGAATTACTAGGCGCTTTGTTGTGCGACAGGGGCTGATTAAAGGTACTGATGACTTGGCTTGACTATTGTAAAGGGACTCCATGTTTTGTCATTCTATGCTATTGACTGTTTGCTTGTTTCAATTTCCGTAATTCTATTTTTTGTCACCGTCCGTTTTAGCAAGAGGCTTACCAATGAAAAGGAGACAATATAGGAGGTGTATCGTATTCTCTTACACCGCATCAAAATAGCTGGAGAGAAAACCTAAGACTCGGCTGTCAATTGACTGTCCGCTTGCTTCAGGTGTCCGGCGGGCTCTGGTACCTGGGGCCAAAGTACCTCGATTGACGTATCTACCTCGTACGAGAGAGTCTTAGCTCCGTCCTGACCTCCATTTCACATTTCAGCGTGGCATGGCCCACGGGCATGGCATGGGTATAGGGGCGTGTGTATTGGAGCGGGGCCCTCATCATCTCCTGGAGGGCTGAGGGCGTGCAGGCACACCCCCTAATTCTGTTCTCTGGCACCCCTGTCTCTGTCTCCAAGTGGTGCCCTGTGTCTTGCGCCCTGGCTGCCCTGGCTGGGCTGCTTCACCTCAGATTACCTTTTGGCTAGGAGCTTGAGCTGGGCTGGAGGCACAAACCAAACACCAGACTGCCCTGGCCAGGAATATTAAAAGGGCAGCGACCTCCCTCTTCCCCACGACCGATCATTCTCATCATCGACTCAATAAGAATCTATTCAGGCATTCACTCTTAGCCTCTACTAGCTCACTTACATCAACTCAACTTACAAACACTCGAGCACTTGCAACAACCAGTACTACTTACTACTATTACTTGATCGATACACTCGGATCAACTCAACCACCAAACAACATATACATCTTGAACTGAGCTACCTGTACTCGGTTCTCAACTACAACTACCTACCACTCGAAGCTATATCTTCCAACTACAATCAACATGCCTGCTCAACGACCTTCGCAGCTTCCTCCCTGCCCCGGCCCCCCTCCCAACCGACCTCTGCCTGCTCTGCCCAAGCGAGGTTAAAGCATATCAACAATATCGACAGTAAACCATCATCTGTCTGGGTTTCAGCCTCTTTCTCCGGGATCACGCAACCACCACTACATGACACCAACAGGCAGGCTCTTGGCTTCAGCTCTTCTAGTCCTCGGTTACACAATGACAAAGGACAAGGTTCGCCCGGCTCTTGCGACCTCCCGCGCCGCATGTGCACATGCGAACTATAACTGAACCCCTACATGCACATAATCTATCATAACCACTACGGGTTTTGATATGCAAGCCGCCTGCATGCACAATACTACCGCTTCTCGACTGGTTCATCCGTCGAATCAATCAACCTGCTTTTACCGGATCTTCCTGGTCACTTTTACCCAGGCATTTCGCGACCCGGTCAATTTACCAACTTCGTCCTTTATGGCTGGACCGACCGGACTCTTCAACTTCACTTCTTTGCGTGCGCCCTCCAATAAGCGCATTACCGTTTCAATACCCTTTATTACACTATCTAATAATTCTTTATTATTACGTTTTCTATACTTCGTTCATCAATATTTGGGAGGAATTTGTTCCACGGTCTTTCAAGGGAACTGTATCAATAGACAGGCATTATCACGGCGTCTCACAACACACACCGCATTGTTCCACTATCTTGGGCATTGCGCGCATGTGGGCTTATTGTTTTTATGATGAACACGTTGGTTGGGAACATAGATATCATTTGGGATGGGGGTTGGCTATTTACACCCGATTATCCTCTGGAGCAAATGGGATTACCTTATGTTTATGTCCACTGATCACTCAGTGTTGACGGAAATGGAACGAGATACCAGGATACTTTTTACGCGAATTCAATCAAACTTGAAATTGCCCCTAAACAAACAAGACTCAAAAGTGACCTTCGTCTCGCAACGATAACTAACTATGGCTTCCCTTCTTTTTTCTTGCTTCCCGTGTCTCTCCTATTGCGAATCTCCGGACCCGAGAATTGCTTGGCGGACGGACCACTCCAGGGCCAGATTCCTCAAAAAGCGAAATGTCAATTGCGTTGCTCAGATTACCATGACCCCCTGTCTCGATAGCGCCTCGTGATCTCTAATATCCTTGTCCAGCAGCTCCCTTGCATCGTACAATCTTTGTCATTGTTCATTAACTTATGCCTGCGCTGGGTTTGGCTCCTGGGCATTGGCAGGCACAGGCACGGAAACAGCAGTTCGCTTCCCAACATAGCAATTCTCACCCATTGATGCCTACGCCGCGCTTCTGCAGCGTCGATCCGAACAGCTGACGCTCGCCTCAACGACAACTGAAACTTACAGGGCCCCTTTACCAGGGGAACCTGAATGCTTGCGCAATACATTACTGCGGCTGCCCTGAAATGTCTAATGATAGTAGTGATAATTGCCATGTACTATCATGTCTTGCCCGTCTTCAACTGCAGCCGGACATGCCGTGGCTTACAAGGTAAGTAACCCGGCGCCGATCGTCTCCTATTCCCCAAGTTGGAGATGTCACCGGGGTGAGGGGCAGACAAAGACAAGATTCATCAAATCGTCATCTTTTAGAGAGAAAAACTCGTTCGCTTCGCTTAGTAGTTCCCCTCAAAGTGTGATCTGATCTCCCCCTAAAAGCGAGCGAGCTAACGTTAGTACAAGGTACGGCACACTGTAACTCTTGGTGCGGAATGGCATCGGAATTAGATCCAATGACAATCGCCAGAAGATTAGTGGTTTTCTTTGTCTTTTATGTCCGGCCCTGAGCCGGCGCGACGCCAGCGGGAGCCTCTCAGCCTTTGCAACCGCAATTGGTTTGTTGGCCGAGTCCTAAGCAAAGAGTAAGACGGGCTGATAGTTAGTTGGATCCCAAGTCCAAGGTCGAGGGCTAGCTAACAGGTTGGGATAAATCATGATTGGTACCAGCCGAGAGTGAAGAAATCCAAGTTCATGGTATTGGAAGTTTTGGCTTGCAGTAGCATGCTTGCTTCAATTGTCGGCCTCTGCCACCCTCACAGTGATAATCGTTAAAAGAGGCGATCGTGCATATTGAAAATGATGAAACAGGCGGTCACGCCCGTCAAAGCTATGAGGCTGCTTATCTTTGACAGATTTGGATCGAATTGAGATGTGGCGAACATGGCCAAATTTTTTGCTCCATCGCCTCGTCATGTTCCTGTGCCTGTCTCAAGATTGAGGATCGCTGTCAATGTCCGTTCTGTTACCGCTTCAGGGGTACGGGTGAAGATTACCGACAAAGGCCTGATTGTCCGTCGAAATAAGGAGTTGGACGAAGATCACTTGTTACCATCGGCCCAATTACGCAATGGATGAATGCCACAAGCTAGCTGCAGTGAAAAGTGATTAGTGGTGCCTCAATACCTAGAGTGTGGCATCCTACCCTTCCGCTTGCTCTGGCGGTTGGTGTAAGTTTGTTGGTGAGACGTTCCGATCGATGTGGCTCATATCGACCACTAGTATTTGAGAGCAGTTGTTGAAACACCAACGTACATACCGTAATTATTCAGCTCTTATTCATCTTATCTATCTCCGAAACTCTGGGTTCTTTGACATTGGCTCAACCAACGGCGAAATAACGCTGTGAGGTTGGTATGCAGATCAGAACTGATTGTTAAAGCATGTATCCTGAATAGGAATATGATGTCTCCAAAGTGGGTATAAGCGGCTTCAGGGACTCATAACTAGAGAGTCAGTCACTTTAACCAGCCAAAGCCGTTTCCATGATATGAAAAGCCAATGGCCATGATATGCCAAATCAAGATAGTCTTCGGGCTCGAACCTGGCCGACACATGGCCGACAGACGGGAGGCTGTATTATGTTAAAGCCCGATCCGATGGTGTGAAGGCTAGACAAAAAAAGCATATAAAGCCGACTTGAATTACTGAGAGAATTTAGAGTTTTGTCATAGTAAATTTAACCTTCACGACGCAGTATTTTGTCACTAACAGACGAATTATGGAGTAGAGGGTTCCCGCTATGATACTGGGCGCGAAAATCAATCACGTGGCTACGCGCTGTCATTCATAGCGGGCGGGGCACTCTGTTAGGCGCTGCTAGGCTAGTCGAATAGAGACAAGAACAACCACAAGGCTGGCGTTTGTGAAGCCTTCAAGAGTTCCCCGACCTCCAGGATCAACTAAGTTTTTACTTGGTGATATTGGCGTATCGCCACGAGATCTATCACAAAACTTTATACGATCTCCCCGCCTCAGACTACCGCGCGCTTCCGTTACTGCGGACTGAATCCCGCAATCATACATCCTTTGCTTTCGGAGCACATGACGTCTGTGGTATAGCTACGGACAACCTGGGATAGCTTCACGGCCTGATCGTCGGACCCTGGCCAGCCATGTTAGACCTTCACGTATGGGGCTCCGCCTTTGGTCTCCCGTCAATTGACCCTGAGTGCCTTGCTATCATCACATACCTGCATAGCAGCCTCCCTGTATCAGCCTGGCGCCTGATTCCAAGCAACGATCCTTCCGTCAGCCCGTCCAGTAAGGCTTATCACTCCCGTTGCCTTGACTGAACCCTGTCTTGCTGACCATTGCAACCAGATACACTACCAGCATTGTATCATGAGGGCGTATGGATATCAGGTTTCGGTCCTATTATCGAGTACTTGACTGACAAGTCAATCGGTGACAGTCTGGATGCTGACCTGACCGACATTCAGCAGGCTGACCGTGTTGCATATGCTGCCTTCTTGTCTGTCCACGCTGCTCCATTGCTGGATCTCTCACTCTATGTCTCCGCTGCCAACTGGTCAGCCACAACTCGGCCCGCCTTCAGCACCCTATTACCTTTCCCATTGACATGGACAGTTCCGCCACTGCTCCGTGCCGAGGCTGTCAAACGTGTTGAGCACCTGGGCTTTGCTGATATGGATACCGACTTTGACCCTAATGGAGGCCTTCATCTATCCTCCGGAAGAGATGCTTTACCAGAGACATTCCGAAGGCACATTCCTGTGAGGACAAAGAAGACGATTCAAGAAGAAATGACCCCTGAGCAAGCGGTTCTTATAAGGCTATGTGGAATCACAGAAGACTGTCTCACTGTGTTAGATGACCTCCTTAAGGGAGGATCCGAGGAGAAGATGCAGGGTTTCTTCAACGGTACAGAAATCTCATCTTTGGACTGCTTAGCCTTTGGCTATCTCGCCTTGATGCGTGATGCCCCCGTGCCAAGATCTTTCTTAAAAGATTGGCTCATGAAGAAGACACCTCGGTTGTCCACGTTTGTTGACGATATCAAGACAAGATGCTTGAACAAGTCCAAACTCTTGCCGTGGGTTGAACCTGGTAACAACACCGCATTACACATCGGAAGCCGAACTCTTGACAGCATCCTCCATAACGTTCCTGGTCTGGGTGATGAGTATGCGACCGAAGTACGAAGACGTGCTGAAGGAGGTATCACTGGCATTGATGCCAGATCCCTCATGTTGGCATTGAGTCTCCTCGCCACAGGTGCAGCTCTTGGATATGGCTATCATACATACAAGGCACTACAGCCTTTTGGATCACGGATACAAGTGTGGCAATCGCACAGAAACTATTCAAAACTCAGCGAGTTTGGTGCGCTAGGTTCCATGTTGGGCAGTGTATTAGGAGGGTCAGTGGAAGCACCTAGGCCTTCTCATCAGTCAAACCAGGCTCGGTTCGTTGAGACCGATACAGACGTGGACTAGGAATGATGATAACGATGTAAAATTATTGTACATTTATGTAATAGACAAACCAACTTCCAAATACCCTCTGCCTTAGAGGGACAACTCCAAAAGACGTTCCTTTCCCATGATCTAGATGTTTAACTGTCCATCATAATTTTCCTCAAGTCTTATTAGACACAATTTCATTTAGTGATTTCCCATCTCTTTGTGTCGTGATTTATATCTGTCTGATCTCCTTGCCAACCATTTCAGGTCGCTCAATTTCCCACTCATCTCGCAACACGGCGAAAGTGAGATCTGTCACCAACAGACTCTGACCCAAACTCCACACAAGAGTGATGGCATAGAAAAAATTGGCGTTGCCGCTTCCTGCATAGATCCAGAGGTGGTAAAAGGCTGGCCCAAGGAATGTTGCGTACAAGAGTGTAGAAGTGGTAACAAAAGCGTACCGCATGAGGGGGAAAACATGTCGGAATAGAGGAACCATAGATAGGAAGAGGCTAGCATCTGCAAGCGAAGGGTATGGCTTGAAGATGGAGAAGATGCCCAGTAAAATGGTCAAGACAGCCAACGGCTGGGGGCGGAGACGGATAGAGAGGGCTGCAGGATAGGCTGCAAGATGTAGCCAGAAGACGCCAAGGAAGAAAGCTCTAAAGGAATCAAACATCTCAATGAAGAAATACCACCACAATCCCACGTTAGGTGTGAGATCCGATAAGGTCAGTTGGATGCCATATGTGCGAGCCAGGAACTCCCAGGAGTTGTTGGCAAGCAAAAAAGACATGCCCAATAACGAAACCACACACCCCAGCACAACAGCTACGTTAGTAGCTGCGAACTTAGTGATGCAAGCAATCCGACGCTTCTCAACTTGACAATCATAGGCAAGGAGAACAAGCGGAGGGAGGAGTAGGATAGGGTACATGGACAGATAAGATGCGAAAGAGAGTGCGACCATGGCGTTAAAAGGAGACCCTTGGATAGCTTTGGCGATGGCAAGGAGAATGGCACAGTTGGTGAAGACGCCTGTTGATCGCCCTATACATGTCGCAATGGTATATGGGTTGAACAAGAAGCTGGTGCTTGTTAGTTCTGATATTGGAGCTCAGAGTCAAAATCTCCCTTACCCAGCAGCAATTGCAGCACTACCAAACTTATTGGCACGGCGCGGCGATGTAAATAGCTTCGAGTTGCCAGCAACACTCGAATCGGCAATCTTATATAGCGCATCGGCGCTGAGGAGGTCGACGGCGATATAGAGCAGGTGTGTGAAGATGGACCAGCTCTTTACGTCGGGGAGTAGCGAGAACAAGGGCAACAGAAGAGGAGCCTGGTGGAAGACACCACCATCGTATGGCGAGACATTATTCGTATATAGGAATAGACCTTCTTGCACTTCAAGATTGTAAGCAAGTTACTTTCGATACTCGTTATGCGACGGCCGGTTGAGACTTACATCGCTTGAAGCTCGTGACGGGGGTGGATATCTCGACGCGACCAGTTAGAAGATCGGGCAGGCCAGGGAAAGCAAGGAATAAGATAAGTCGGAGCAGCGCAGCACCGGCGAACACGCTGGCTTTGCCTCGCAATGTCATTGTTTCTGACATTGCATCCCTCCAGCGAATATTGTTGGTATAAACAGCTCTGGAGGAGGTTCGCGATACAGTTGAATTGGAGGCCACTTGGCGGGTTGAGCTCCTTGCTTGGCCCCTCCACCTTCGGGATGGACCTGCGACGGGAGAGGGGCCGCTGGAGCTTTTCGCCGGAGCTCGATAATAGCTCCACTATATTCGCTGAATTGGCGATGCCAGGCGCTGGAAATGCGCTAAAGGGTGCTGAGCATGCCCCCGGGCGGTGAGCGCGACACCACCCAATGAAAAGCCTCCATTATTGGTCTTGTCCATACTAGCGCCAGATCAAGGCGGTACAGCTTGGCATAAAATTTCACGTTGGAAAAAAAAGTTGAAAGATTGTTAGCAAAAAGTGCCCCGCTGGTTTCGCAGAGAGATACAACCAACCACCAACACTACCACATCTCCAATCAACAATGCCTCGGATAAAGAAGAAGGGAAAGGCCGGCGCGGCCAAGAACTACGTTACTCGAAACCAGGCGATTCGAAAACTTCAGATCAGCCTTCCCGACTTCCGAAAGCTGTGCATTTGGAAGGGAATCTATCCTCGCGAGCCCCGAAGCAGAAAGAAGGTTTCCAAGTCTTCCACCAGCTCGACTACCTTCTACTACACCAAGGACATCCAGTACCTGCTCCACGAGCCGCTGCTTCAGAAATTCCGCGATCAGAAGGTTCTTGAGAAGAAGATCTCCCGTGCGCTCGGTCGAGGCGATGTCACCGACGCCGCTCGCCTAGAGGGCAATGCTTCGCGACCTGAGAAGACCGGAAAGCCTCGCTATACTCTTGACCATGTCATTCGCGAGCGTTATCCCACCTTTATTGATGCGGTCCGAGATCTTGATGACTGCTTGTCAATGCTCTTTTTGTTCGCCAACTTGCCTTCCACCTCCTCGGTTCCCGCTAAGATGATTGCCCGTTGCGAGCGCCTGTGCCTCGAGTTCCAGCACTACCTCATTGTGTCGCAGAGCGTTACCAAGTCTTTCCTCTCCATCAAGGGTATCTACTATCAGGCCAACATCCAGGGCGAGGAGGTTCTCTGGCTGGTTCCCTACAAGTTCAACCAGCGCGTCGTTGGCGATGTCGACTTCCGTATCATGGGCACCTTTGTTGAGTTTTATATGACTCTGCTTGGCTTCGTCAACTTCCGATTGTACACCTCTCTTGGCCTCAAGTACCCTCCCAAGTTCGACCAGGCTAAGGATGAGGCTGGTGCTGAGCTCGGCGCTTTCACCCTCGAGGGCAAGACCTTGGTTGGTGCCGACGAGAAGGAGCAGAAGACATTGGAGGCTGCTGAGCACAAGCCCGACCCCAAGGTTCAGGCTGCTGTTAACAAGGTTATCAAAAAAATCAAGGGCAACGATGACGATGAGTCGACAACAACGTCCGAGAACCAGGTTGAGGGCGAGGACCAGGAGGCCGGTGTCATTGATAAGTTTGAGCCTGCAGTTTCTGGTGGCGATGTTCTGCCCCAGCCTTCTAACACTGGAACCAACCCCAACAGTCTCTTCTCTAACCTCACCGTCTACCTGTCTCGCGAAACCCCACGACAACCCCTCGAATTCCTTCTCAAGTCTTTTGGCTGCAGACGTGTTGGCTGGGATGCTGTTCTCGGCGATGGCGCTTTCACCACCAACGAGCTTGACCCTAATATCACTCACCAGATCGTTGATCGACCTCCTATCCAGGCTTCTGCTGAGGATGAGGCTGATGGCGACGACAACCAGACATCACAGAAGCTTGCTGCCAACCGACGAGTTCCAGGACGAACATACATCCAGCCTCAATGGGTTTGGGACAGTGTCAACGACGGCGAGCTGAAGGAGCCTCATCTGTATGCTCCTGGAGCTGATCTTCCTCCCCATCTGAGCCCCTTCGTGAGGAACGTCCAGGGTGCATATGATCCTACTGTTCCTCTGGAGGAGCAGGAGCCTGAGGCTGAAGCCATCGAGGCCCAGAGCGATGGCGAGGATGAGGTTGATAATACTGCTGAGGGTATGGATGTGGCTGATTCTGATGAGGGAGAGGGTGAGGATGACGAGGATGACGAGTTTGGTGGCTTCTCTGCAGACGAGCAAGAAGAGGATGAGGAAGAAGAAGACGCCGAGCAACGGCAAGACGAGCTTGAGGCTGAGCTCACTGGTGGTGCTGTCAAGTCCAAGACAACGAACGCCAAGGCCAAGGCTAAAGAGGACGCTCGCAAGGCCCTCTCCAAGAAGGCTCGCGAGGAGGCTGAGGATCTGGAGCGTGCGAAGGGTATGCTCAGCAAGAAGAAGAGAAAGCTGTATGAGCAGATGGTGTACACAAACAACAAGAAGAGTGCTGAGGACCAGAAGCTACGGGCCAAGAGGAGAAAGTTCGAAAAGGAAAAGGCCACCAAGGGCAAGGGCAAGGCTTAGGCGTAATGTTAAGGCACTGTTTTATACCATTCCTATAGATTTTAAGTTGTACGCGATTAAAAGCATTTATTGAGTTGGTTATACGTAAAAACTGTGTTGAGCAGATACTGTGTTAGTGAATGTTTTGTTAGGTGGATAACTTACTTGGCTTTTACTTTGCGACGCACCTCTAAAAAACTTGAACTTCTCAACTCACCACAAATACTGGCTCAACCAATTTGGCAGAATAATACCCACAGATAATGTGATTTCCCGAGAATAATCGATACCTGGATAATTATATTTGCACGTAATCGTCACCTTTCTTTCCGCCAAGATGGAAGCAAGCGCTACCACCTGGGAGTTAGACAGTGATGAGATCGCATCTATCGCCTCTGAGGACTTGCATGAGCATAGACCGAATCGTTGGACGGGTGCTAAATCGACATGGCGCACTCTGACGGAAGAGGACCGACTGCTCTGGCAATCAATGAAGCAAATTCAAGATCAGGATCTTGCGGTGCATTTATACAATGCTTTTGCGCTAAAGCGACGAGGCCGAAATCCGGAGACAGCACAGGATTTAGTTGTCAGAACAGTGAGTCGATATTGCATCTTTTATACCCTAAATGAGCTGAACTGACGGTGAAACTTAGGAATCCGGGGAAGAAGGTGTGTGGGCACCGCCTAAGACATGGACTGCATGGCCGCTCAAACATAAACATGTGCCAAAGGAGCGCTTCACCAACGAACAGCACGACGAAGATGACCGTTTCACATTCCGCAGAAAGGAAGAGATTCTTCCCAGCACTGAACTGGAAGAAGAGATTTCTGCCGCTATCTTGAGAACAGCCAAGCGTCGCTTCCGCAGGAGGAAGAGTAAGATGGCTAAACCGTCCATCGAAGAAGACTCTACGCCTCTATACAATGAGAGCGGCAACAACACACCTGATGCTTTCTCACGCGAGTCTTCTGCCAAGCTTGAGACGGAGGATGGGAAAGAAGAAGACGAAGACGAGAAGATGGCTGTCGACGGAGAAGATAGTCGGCCTACGCGACGCAATCCCAAAACTTATGAGCCAGTCGAGTCTACCAACGACGAGGCATCTTATGCCCTTTTACGTCCATCAACACGACACATTTTGTCACAACTGGACAATACACTAACAATACTTCACAACTCACGTATTACGGGCATGAATTATCTCTCTGATTCTTCAACTGAAGAGGAGTCAGATAACCAGAGCCAAAGTGGACAAAAGAGATCTCGTGGTCGTCCGCGAAAAATTCTTCATGAGGTTGACACATCCGCATCTGCCTCACCAGCGGGAGTTGGTAAAACCAGCAGACGAGGCCGTCCCCGAAAAGTCCATGTCCCTCATGCTGGAGAATCACAGGAAGAGATGCTTCAACGTGTTGCTCGTGAATCTCATCGAAAGATCCCTGCGACGGTTGAAGACAGAGATGCAGCTTTTGAGGAGTGGATTCGCAAGGGCGATGAGATCATCGAACGAGAGCGATCACGGTCCCTATCATTGAAGCGTGCGACTTCTCAGGGGGTTGAGACAGAGGAGGAATCAGTATCAGGAACAAACGTTGAACGCAAGCAGGCAAGATGGGGCCTGCGTGATTGGAGTGATGTGCTAGGCGCAGCTGCTATAGCGGGTTTCTCAGGCGATGTTATTGCGAGAGCAACACGACGATGTGCTGATTTGTTCGGTGAAGGAATGGTAGTGAGGACGCTCAACGAAGTGCCCGCCACTAATAATAAAGGCACCTCTTCTGTCGAGTATCGTCCTGAGCCTATCCAGCTATCGTACTCAGATGAAGAAGCCGACGATGAAAGCGATGATGCCGCAGATCTCATACAGCGCCGTATCGCATCCCGTCAAGCCTCTCTCGCATACTCAAGTCGCAGCCCAGACTCCATTAGAAGCACCAGCCGCCACTCAACACGCTCTCCAGGACCACCATCAGCAGCCCGATCTCCAAGCTCTCGCTCCAACTCTGCAGGTGGTTTGGTGTTTTGCCCGATTCCTTCGTGTGACCGCGCAGCACAGGGTTTCGGACGCAAAGCAAACCTTCGGCGACATATGGAGCTTATACACCAGGGGCAGACAGAGGAGCTTGATAGTGACGAGGAGGTTGTAGGTGGTGTACATGTGGATGGTTTCCTCAAGCCTATTGTGCCAGGAAGGGGCTGGAGAGGCGAGGACACTATCCAGAGAAAGAGGAAGAGATTCTACGGTGATAAAGCTGGGATGAGCCGTGAGGCGAGTTATGCCGAGGAGGATTTGTCCTCATGAAACAAGTGTGATTCAGAGTAGCCATTATTGTTAAACGACCTTCTGTCCTAGTTACACGCGAAAGGGATGGGTTCATACATCACTCACGGCACGGTGTAATGAATGACTTCTATAAGAATATCTAACATAGAAGAATAAAGTATTTCCATGTCTGACCGGCCCTCTCTCCTCCCCTCTATAGCTGCACATGCATGCCCCCAATGAAGAAGACAAAAAGATAGCAAGTCATTCATTCTATGTAGATAGAAGAAACAGCAAAAGAGAAACTCCGGTACAGGGAATCGAACCCTGGGCTCCGCGGAACCGATCCCTCAGGTTATGAGAGCGCGAAATGTTAGCCACTACACCATACCGGATGGTGATTTGTTGAGATAGTTTGCTGCAATTTGGCTCCAAGAGCGCAGAGACCATCAAACCAGAGAAGGTCTTTGATGTTTGTCAAGCTGAAACCGAAATGGTTCAGAGTAGGTGGCGCAGACGAGAGGTGCAGATGAGAAAGGGACCATACGAATGTGAATAGCATTCATTACTCTAATTGTCTAAAAGTCAAAGGGTATCAAGTACTCAAATAACCCTGCAACGAAAACCCAGACAACAATGCCGAGAATCGAACAATGAAGAAAACCATCCATAGCTATGCTTCCTTACAACACCACAAACTCCAGATCCAAAAAGCCCTACGTACAAAGGAACAGTGACAGACAGTATATAAGAGTTTTAGTTGAGCCTTGGGCTCTTTCTCCTAGACAAACTCTCCTCAAGCGCCGTTGGAAGCATATTCTCGCCGCCCTCAGAAATGATGGGATCCCTGACTCCAACCTTCTTGGCGCTGCGAGTCACACGCGTGCTGCGCTTAAACAGTGGCAAGGTGCGCTCAGGGGGCATAGATATAATGCTGGCGCGAGGGTCGAAGCCAATGGATCCCGTTGTGTGGTTTGGTACATTGGGGTTCACTTCGCGAAGGCTTCCGGCCAGACCTATGTGTTCAGGGGCACTAGCATTGGACATGCGAGAGGGCGGAGGTCGGACGGGGGAAGTCATCATTTTCTGGGGGCAGTCAAGGTCGGCAAAGACCATGGTACCGTCCCTGTCAGATGCGTCACGCTCCCTGGTTGGTGTAGAAACCTCGTCGATGCGTGAAATGATGAGATCGTGATCTTCAGTGCGAGGAAGGTCAGTGGGGTAATGGTATTGGACCTTGGCTGGTGTTTCACCAGTCGGCTGGTATTCTTGAAGGGCCGCGCGAGTGATGTCTTCGCGCAAGTTAGCCAGAGGTTGGCAGAGCTGATCATTGAGTGGCTCCAAGCCATCTTGAAGATCACCCAGGTCGAGCTCCATCTCCTCACCCAAGTTCTTGACACGGTCAAATGTAGACTTGAAGTGCGATGAGATGTTCCCGAAAGATTCCTCAACAGTATTGGACAACGACTGAACGGATACGCTGTGAGATTCGTGGTGGTGGCCATTCTCAGTCTTTGCACGGCTGACAAAGTCATCAAGGGCTTCCATCTGAACATCGAGATCCTTGATCTGCTCGTCGACAACACGAACAGTCTCGGCGTGAACAGATTTGGCAGTAGCTTGGATGGAGCTGCTGTGGTCATTCGCAGCTGTCCAGTCATCCTTTAGCTTCGTCTTGAGCTGCTCTCGAGACTTCTTGACCTCATCCAGCAGCTCACCCTCCTTGACATCCCACGTTGACATACCCTCGCCATATGTGTCGACAGCCTGCTCCAAGTTCGTACTAGTGGCAGTGATGCTCTTCTGAATCTGAGAAGCTCTGTCGTGAAGCCTTGACTCCTGAGCGTCGGCATGGGTGTTGATAAGAGCTGTGATTTGAGTCATGAGCTTCTGACGTTCATCAACGGCTTGGCGACGCTCCTCTACCAGGGCATCTTGAATTCGCGAAGAGATTGTAGCGTTTTGTAGCACAATCGTATTTGTTGCTGCTTGGAGCTGTCGCTTGAGGTTATCGCACTCAGCTCGCTGAGCAGTGATGTGCTTAACAAGATCCTCGAAAGTAGACTTGAAGTCTTTTCCAATAGCACTATAAGAGTTGTGAAGCTGTAAACTGTTAGAAGCTGATCTTTAATGCTGCGACACAGAAACTTACCTGTCCGTGGAAAGCAGTCATCTCATTCAACATATCTGCCGCTATCCTCTCGGCAGAATGAGAGATAGACTGCAGGCTCTCGCCCATTCGCTCCTTGACCGTGTCACGAACAACCTTGATCTCCTCTAAAACCTCATCCATATCCTCCTTTGACTTCTGCTTCGACTGGAGTAAGTCCTTCTTCGACTGAGTGAATGTGCTCAAGTGCTCATCGAGGAAGGTTTGTGTAGTCGATAGCTTACGCAGCTCCTCATCCACAAAGGTCTCCATGCGCTGTCCGACGCTCGCAATGTGTTCTTGCTGCTCCTCCTGGAACTCATTGATTCGACGCTCGACCATGGAGGTGACATCAGCAACCTGGTCTTGAGATGTTGTCCATGTGTTTCGGTTGATAGACTGAAGATCCGACTTTCGTTTGTTCTTGGCATGAAGACCACCAACATCACGGACTGTCTTATGCAGCTTGTTGATGAGCTCTCCACCGACCTCGGTAAGCTTCTGCTCCGTCTTTTGATGCGCTTTTCTGATCTTGGTTTCCTCAGCAAGTGACTTTCGTGTCGCAGACAGAACGATCTCGGTTTGGTCCAGCACTTCCTTGGTATCGTCCAGCTGGGCTTTTGTGCCCTCGTGATCCTTCTTCAGTCCCATAAACGTAGACTGCAGGCTGAACAGCTCCTGGACTTTGTTTCGCAGGTTGTTTTCCAGGGTCTCAAGCTTCGCGGCCTGTTCCTCGTTGACGATGCGGCGAGATTCGCTCTGGGCCGTCATCTCTTCGTAGGCCTCGTTTGAGAGATAGACACCGTTGCGTTGGCGGGTAGCGATAAGCTCACTCTTGAGCTTCTCAATCTCCATAGTAAAGTCCCTGAGCAGTGTCTTCTTCTCAACCATTGGGTTAAGCTGGGGCTTGTTCTTGATGTTCTTGGCCCTGAAGGCATAGTCGAGTGTTGAGATAGTCTCTTCCAGGTTACTCTTGGCAGGAGAAATGGTTGCAATAATGCAAGTCTTTGTTCTGCCACCAAGTGAGTCTTGTAACAAGCGAGTCAACTTGGACTCTCTGTAGGGAATATGAGAGCTGCGATCCACAAGCGCGTTGATGACTCGACCGAGAGTCAAGAGTGACTTGTTGATGAGGCCAGCCTCCGCAGCACGCTTGTTTTCAGCTCCTGATCGCTGAATGTTCTCACTTCCAGCCAAATCGACGAGGTTCAGCTTTCCAGCACTAACAAGAGCATCAACGCCGTGCTCGTTGGGCTTTCGGACATATGTGGTAATGGTGAAGACTGTGTGACTGCGAGAACTGAGATCATTGCACTTTGTAGCCGCTACCTGACGTTTCAAGCTGCCATCCTGGAGAACTTTGACACCCTCAGTAGCGCTCTTGATGTGTTTCTCCTCCATGCCTTGGACAATGGTGCTGAGATGGCCTCGTCGTGAAGTGTCGTCGAAAATCTTGAGTTTATTGCCCTCGTCGGATGAGAGCAGATCGCGGAGTTCTTCATTGTAAAGTTCGATAAAGGAGCACTTGATGGTGCTCTCGGCGTTCTCGAGCTCGAGCTTGTTGAACAATGTTTGTAGTACGCGAGGAATGATACCAGCTTCGTCTGAGAGCATACCCAGAGTGTCGGTCATGTCACCAGACATGGTATATGTCTTACCTGTGCCTGTCTGTCCATAGGCAAAAATGGTGCAATTATATCCGGAGAGCATCTAGAATAGTTAGTAACTAGATTCTGTGTCCCGTATGCTCTTTCAACCCACCTCATCCAGAATAGGCTTTACTGTATCGTCAAAGACCATGTTTTGATCCGCCGCCTGGGAAAAGACGCGATCAAAGTTATATGAGCGGTTGCTCAAGGCATTAGAGCCCATTGACAACTCGACAATCTTTCCTTTGACCGCATCTGCCGTAACAACAACATTGCTGTTCTCGCGGACCTCGCGCTCATTGCGTCCACGACATCGCACAACGACCTGGATATTTGTCTCCTCTGCGCTAGACTCGGCCTCAAAGTCGCGCTCCTTGCGCTTAGTCCCGATGGTGTTAACAGTGTTTACTGAAGCGATGGATCCAGTCGGTGATGCGGCGCCGTTGCGCGTCGCGAGCGATGAGCCATATCGTGTCGATGGTGCTCTTGAACCAGCTCTTACGCTGGTGCGGCTGCTGTTGGCGGTGGCAGCGCGCACGCCTGGAGCCATGGCGATGCGGCTGTGCTCCCGATCGGAGCGAGTCGGGCGTGGAGGAGCCACGATGGGCAACTATTTGTGATTTCTATCGAGTTGGTTGTAGTATCGAAGGCTGTAGAAGAAGCCTCAAGAATGCTTCAGATGCTGCACATTCGCTTAACCGAGTATGAAACTGAAGAGGCAAAATGGTTGGAACTTGTAGAACCTCGAATGAGTTGATAGTGCAAGGAGGGGATGCCTGCATATAGTTTTTGGTTATGGTTGCGGCAGGGCTGTTTGGCATAAAGTAAATAGTACAACTGTTGAACCATGTTTAGGTGGAACGGGCTGGGGTCAACACAGGCTAGGGCGTCTGTTGCCACGACAACCAGCCACCTCTAGTTCACCCACTACCTATCCTGGTCTGCGCTCAATGAGGTTCTCACTAAAAGCGGTGAAAGTCATTACGATAGGTCATTATTTCGTGTCTTGGGTGTGAGTATCATGATCTCCGTTATCATCATGAGACACTTTAATCGGGTTCTCAGGGACTCAAGGTTAAACATAAACGGCATTGCATTCCCGTAAGGGGATGAATGCTTAAGGACGCCTTCTACGTAATACAAGTGATTAATCAAAAACTCCAAAATTTATAGATTCGTCTCATCATGAAGCGCTTTGTCATGCTGATACATTATTATTCAGTATCCATCTTATTGTCATC